GATGAGACGCTGTTCATTTCTTCCATTCCGATTTGGTATGATGGACCACGTCCTCCTGAATGGTTCCTGTGCACGCCTTCAAAAAATTGCTTCGCTCAACTGCCAACTGAGATGAAACTAGCACACAGGTTATACCATGAAAGACCTAATTAACGACGCCCCCATTCATCAGGAAGCAGTTTGGAGAGAAAAAACTGCGCCCATGTTCCCAAATATTGTTTATAAATGTTCTTTTACATTTAAAGGGGGATATGATATAGGTATGAATGGATCCCCCAGAAAGACCGCCGCCCCTATTACTACAGATAAATGCTCATAGATTAACCACATAGAAAAATATTAGAAACAATTCAAGTGCTTACTGACAAGTTAACAGAAAAAGTGTAAAAACAACAATTGAAAAGAAAATGCTATATCATATAAAAGGGTAAGTCCCAAAACCATGGGTAAATTCCAAGACCATGTTGAGCAAAAGATTCCAGATATTTTAGAACATATAATGCATGCTTTTATTTGTATGAAGTTCTAGACTAGGTGCAACAGATCAAAAATGATATATGATAGACATACCAAGAGTTGCTCAACACAGGGAATATCTCAAATAATCCAACAACTGGAAGGTGGGCCTGAGGCTACCCTGTTCTTTTAAACTGAAGTAGGACTGAAATCGTGGTATAGGAATGAAAAAATCAGAGTAAGCCTGGGTATTGCTCTTGCCTACCAGTGTGTGTGGTTAAGTACACTGGCGCTTTCAAATGCAAAGAATAATAGTGTCAATAAGAACCAAAGCGTCCGCTGCACGTAATGCCTACCATTATGTTGTGCCTCTGCATGCATTTTCTCCTATGCCATTTTCTCCTAGTCTAAGATCCTCATGGTTAGTGAATTATTATCCTTATTTTATAGATGGGGAAAACCCAAGTGCAAAGAAGCTAAGTAATTTATTCTCAGCCTCTCATGATTAATTGTCAAGACTGGGTCACATTGATTTCTGGGCTCTCAGCTGTGGGCTGACTCAATGACACGAGCATGTCTGTTCTATGGTATCGCATGAAAAAAGATGAGTTAGTAAGTTTGACAAAACACACGCTCTTCTTTCCTCAGCAATGTAACTGGTGAGTTTTGGAGAAAAATCCATCAGGTAAGTTTAATACGTGGCTATTTAAACTTTAAGAAGAGAATTCCCTCCCTCCAAACGTGATGAAACAACAAAGTGAACACTGGCTTCACAGAGCCCAGGGAACCGACAGGGTATGCACCGGCCAGATTATTGGCTTCATACAGCTGTAAGCCCCTTGCTTAACCGGGCTTGTGCAAATGGGATCAGTTCCTTGATCTGCCTGAAAGGGAATTTTTCAGCTGTCACTCGGAGCCAAGTACGTCTTTTCTACTGGTCTGCCCTGAAAGATATTTATAATTTGTTTGTGATTTATTGAAACTTGCCTGGCTCGAGAGGAACAGTGTCTTGTAAGCTTCGGTCCTCTCAACTCTCTCCAGCTTGCTCTGCTCTCTTTGTGAAGCTGCCTTCCTGCGAGGTGACCGTGTGGGCCCATGCTCTCCTCTGAAGTTTTTAAGAGTGGCACGTGATGCCATGCGCAATTTATTCCATCATTTTCTTTATTAAGACACTTAGAGGTTACAACAGGTGGTGCGGGTGTACAGAGAAAGGCAGGAATCTCCGGGTATGTGTGCTCCGGCTGGATAGATTTGCTGGCAACAGTGGCCAAAGCCAGGGTTCTAGAAATTTAGTCTCAAGAGTTAATGATGTTGAAAGGTATTTTAAACCCAAACTAAAGTCTTTTTTAAAACAATGTAATTATACCCGCATGAAAAATATAGGATTATCCAAGCAACTCTCATATGTCAATAATCTTTCTAAATATGTGTCACAGTTCTCATTTGAAATATGTGCAGATTTCTTACTTCTATGCTTTACACACACTATCAATCAGCTGCTTGAGGCTTGGGGGAATAGATCATACCTTCTTAAATTATAAAGTAACTCATTGTTCACCCAACCCATTTCTTCTGTTTTATTGCTTTTGCTCTCAGTCATTTTCCCTTTCATTTTATCTTTCCTCCATGCCTGTGGGTCAGAGGTCTGATTTGTTCCTCATACCCGATGACCTGGAGATTGGTGTTGACAATTCCAGCAGTTATATGAGTTCTGGGTGAGCGTCTTGGTTCTGTCAATAGGAACAAGGAGGAGAGTGACTGTTATTGTCTCATTTCATGAGGCATCAAAAAAACAGAACACATTTATTTTGCACAAATCCTTGGGATGTAGGAATTTTTGAGTTTTTCTTAGTCAATACACCAGTGTGTAGACAATTCCTTGGGGTATAGGAATTCAGTATCGCATGACTTCTTAGCCTTTTAGGCCTTAGGGTGGGTCCAGGGCAACTTCTGATGCTGTCTATACAGATAAAGACTGTTTCCTTGTGATTTTGATTATTGTTATTTTGCCATTAGAACATATAACTACAAACTTAGCAAGCTAAAACAAAACAAACCAGTAATTACAGTTCTGGTGGTCAGAGTTCCTCAGTTCCAGGTGTTGCCTGGGCTGCTTTCCTTTGAATGTTGTAGCGGAGAACCTTCTAGAATAGAGGCATTAGCCCTCTTCCATCTTCAGAGACAGTATTTGCACCCAGAACCCCTGTTCCTGTTGACTTATCTCTTCTCCCTCTGAAATTCTGCTTCTGTTTTATAAGGACCTTTATGGTTACATAGAAAATCTTTCCATCTTAAGATCCTTAACTTCATCTACAAATATTTGGCCACTTACAGACTTTGGAACTTGGGGCATGCACCTACCCCCACCCCAGTATGTGTGTGTGTGTGTTTTGTATACATTTGCACAGTATTCTTCTTTGCATCATAGTCCTGATCATCAACCAGCTGTTTGGTACTGATACGAGTCATAGGCAAATTGGCATCAGCAGAACCATAGAATTTTTAGAGTTCTTTTAACCTTTTCTTGTATCTTTCTCCATGCAGAAGTCAAGGCAACAATGCTCTGTCAACTCTATAGAACAACAACATGTCTCAGAGCACACAGCCTTGTTGATCCATGCATTCTTTTTTTTTCTTTTTTTATTGAGAAAAGGAGAAAAAAAACAAGTTTCCACCTCCTCCCAGCCTCCCATTTCCCTCCCCCTCCTCCCCCCCTACGGCCCCTCCTCCCACCCTTCTCCCCCTCCCCCCACTCCTTTCCCCCTCCCTCTCCAGTCCAAAGAGCAGTCAGGGTTTTCTGATCCATGCATTCTTTGAGCTTGATACAGAGAACCTTCTGGGTCTTGAAATCTTAGTGCTAATGGCTGGCACGTTTCTGAGATATCACGCCCACCAGAGACATAAAGCAAACCTAATCCTCTGGATAAAGGCCTCAAATCCACAGAATTCCAACTCCATCTCTCCAGTGAGTTCCGATCATTCTAAGAGCTTAGGAGAGATGCTGAAGGACCCTCTCACGGCCAACTTCCACAGAACACGACATCATCCATAAGAACTGTGTGCCTTTCTGTTGGCATCAGAATGGAAAATGGAAAATTGGCATCGGAATGGAAAACTGTGCCTGTCTGAACTGAAAGACCTTTATTCTCTTTGCATATTTCTAGAAACTGGTCTGTAGAGGGACAGCATGAGCAATGCATTTGGTAAGATGGCAGGGACAAGGCGGGGACATCTGAGACATTAAGGTTTACAGTCTAAGGATGACGGGGGCATTGAAGGAATTTAGGGTAGCGTGGAGAGGAGGGTGAGAAGTCAGGATGGCTCCTACTGAGCAGGAAAATGGGGAATGAGTAGAGCTTGGAGGAATAACATAGGTTAAGTTGTAATTGTTAGTGATCTATGAATGTCAAATGGTTGGCTGTGTGATTCGAGACTCAGGAGGTTTGGGTTCGGTATATACATTTATTGTTCAGTAGCTAAAATATGATAAATAGGAATTCTACTGGGGAGAGTATACTTAGGAGGAAAGATAGCATAATACGGGACTCAAGGGGTGAGCAAACATTGAGAGGCCTGGCCAAAAAAAGGTTTGCTAAACACCAGCAGCAGCAGCACCACCACCCACCAAACAAACAAACTAAGCAGTGGAGGTTAAGTGGAATATGGAAGGAATTGATGAGAAGATGAGAAGGTAATGAGGAAGGTCTTTCAGAGGTTAGAGTTAAGGGTTATTTTGTTCTCCCAAGTCAATTGGATGCAAAAATGCTACTTGTTATCAATTGGGGGGGGGGATAATCCCATTAAAGACTTTGTAATTTGATCCAGAGGGAAGAGCAAACTGAGAGTCAAGGAAGAGGAAAAATTGACTTCATTCTTTGCTCTTTCTTAAATCCGGAGAAACGTGTGTGCCTCAAGCACTCCCCCTTTCAATCCCACAAACCAGAGAATCAGGAAAACACATTAGCACCCTAGTATAGAGTAGGAACCCAGAGCTGGGGGGGGGGGGGGGGGGGGGAACAGCATCAAGACAAGAGGAAACGGGGGAGGGGCGAGAAAGCTTCCCCTGTCGCTTGGAGAATCTGCTGCAAGGCGTGGGAAGGAAGGGAAGTGGGGAAGGTACCCTGCAGACGTCAGCCAGACACTTTGCCTCTGGGCATGTGGGAAAGAGCTGAAGGAGGAGGGAAAACGTCGCTTTAGGGTCAGATGGAGGAGCTCCTGCGGCTGCTTTTGAGTGAGGATCTGGAGAGCTGGAGCGTTCTGCTCCCGTTCTCCCCTCCAGGAGGCCATTCCTCCATTTTTTAACCCAAATAAAGAGGGGGCGCTGGGCTAAGCCGGTATAAGTCGCTCTGAGCAGCAGACCTCGATTCGGCCCCTGGCTAAGGCCAGAGAGGTGGCCTTAGGGGACGCTGAAGTTACACGGTGGCGGGAGGGGAAGGGTCTCCAAGCTCCTCACCAATCACGTTGGCTGCTGAAGCTATTTGCATATATTATGCTAATAGGGACCTCCCGCTCCGCTCCCACCCGCGCTCCCGCCCTCTCGTGGGTCCAGCGGGCTGGGCGAAGGTGAATATATTATGCTAATAAGGAGGCTCCTGCGGGAGGGGGCGGTCTGTGCATGAGGCGCGCGCGCACTGTCTCACACACGAGCATCCCGGGGTATTTAAGGCTCGCACACGCGAGGCTGCGGAGCTACTTCTGGGGCCTCGCGGCTCGCGATTGCTGCTTGGGTCGTTCGGTTCTTCTCTCTCCTCTATCCCTCTGCTACTTCTCGGGGACCGCGCTCTCGCCGCGTCCCTCTGCATTTCTTTTTCTTTTCGGCCTTGAACTGATCCAGGTGGAAGACAGGTCGGCCCCTGGAAAGCCCCAGAATAGGTAGAGATAGGCAGGCAGACGCAACAGGTCGGAGCAGGGAGAGAGACCCGCGAACCCTGCGCTCTGCGCCGGGGACCACTAAGGAGGTGTCGGATCTTGAGGGGTCAGAAGAGCTGCCCTGGTGGGTTTGATTTTTAGCTGTGACCCCCGGCCGGAGGGTCCTCTTTACTCTCAGCTGGAAGGGGAGAATCAGCAGAATGATCCACAGCTGCTGATCCGGACGCCGAGCCAATCTCAGGTCCACCTCCGACCCGGGGCTCCGACTCCACCAACTAGTTGTGCAGCCGCAGGGACTGAACTTTGGAGGAATCGGCCCTTCCTTTCCTTCTAAGATTATTGGAGGAGGTAGAGGGTGGAAGGCGTAGCGGAGACTGGCGATCCCGCCACGATGTTGGTGAAGAAGCTTGCAGGAAAAGGAGGGGGACGAGAACCTGGATCAGAAGATCCGCGCCCCTTGGGACAGCGTTGTGCCGGCACCATGGCCTCGTGCGCGGCCCTGGCGACCCTCTTGTCAGTGGTTGCGGTGGTGTTTTGCTTGTATCTTGGGGTGAAAACCAACGACCTCCAGGCGAGGATTGCCGCTCTTGAATCTGCCAAAGGAACCCCTTCCTTTCGTCCGCTGCCTGAAATCATGGATGAGCTGAAGGCTATGGTTCAGGAGAAAGTGGAGCGTCTCTTGGCTCAGGTGTGAAAGGTTGGGGGTATTTTGCACGTGGATACTGTTCGGCACAGGTGTGAGTCCTGCGTGCAGGGCTAACTTCAGCCCTTACTGGCTGCATAATTGGTTTGACTGTGGGTACCGAGTATGGAGTGTGTCTTAAGGAGCTTGAATATTGATAGATATGTAGCTGAACCCTTCCCTCACTCTCCCGCAGTTCTTGCATGCTAAACCTGTATGGAGGTCTAAAAGAGGGAAGGGTGGCCTGGGGAGTGGGAGTGTGGGGTCGAGCATTTCCTTTCTTTTCGTTTTCTGGAGCCTCTTGTCCCTCAGTTCTACGGAGAATATTCGTTAGAGACATAAGATCTCCTATCGCCTTCCCAGGTAAAGGTTAGAAAGTGTTATTAATATACAAACGATAATCACTTTCAAGTGAAACAATTCTATACAGATTCAAAGTCATAAATTTCACCCTTCGAATCTTTCCATGTTCGAACACTTAAAAAGTTTTCTATTTGGTAAAGGATGCTGTGCAGGTATTGAAGAAAGCCGAGCCATTAACGCTGAGAGTTGTAAGGAAACACATTATCTTCAAGGCTCGTTTCAACGCAAGTTAGGGGCCTTTTTGAGGAATTTACTTCCAATAGAGAGGCTGTTTAGCAGTTGCTACTCACAAGTGCGCTATTGGCCCACCTTATCTTCAGACCTGCGGTGTTCCACTGCCAGGTTTTGCACTGACTGCCTATGTTTGGGTCGGAGGAGAAGGTGGTGGAGACTCGAGAAAGATATTAGCCAAACCCTGCAATCCTGCTACCACGTCAGTGGTCACTGTCTTATTTTAGGACTTGGATACGGTTACTTTTTGATTAGTGTCCAAGTACGTATGTAAATATTCCTTATGCAAGCTATCGAATGCTGGGAAATCAGGCATGTAGCCAGAAAGTCCCTAAGAGTCCAGTTCTCGTCAGCGCTACTGATGATTGTGCTAATACCTCTGCTTTTCCCACAGAAATCCTATGAACACATGGCTAAAATAAGGATCGCCAGAGAGGCACCTTCAGAGTGCAACTGCCCAGCAGGTAAAACAGACCTCCTTTAACAGTGTTTCCTCCACAGCGGAACAAGCACACACACGCATGCACGAGCATACACACACACACACACACACACACACGGTCTTGTGCTGTCAATTCTACCTGTAATAATAGTAAAGAAAGAATGCAGGCCCAACCTGCTTTAATAAAACCAACATGTCTCAGTTCAAAAGAGGGCCAACCCCCCCCCACACACTATTATTTTATGCAGGATACTAAGGTCTGCTATTGTAAAACGAGAAAGCTAGATATGACCAACATGGATAATATAGATAAGATGATATACAAAGACAGAGTTCTTAGAGTCACAGATTGGAAGTCTTCCATGATATATTAAATAATGTCATTTTTTTGTGCATATGTGTGTGAAAATGTCTGTAAACGCTTAGATTCTGAAATCCCTGGTGTCTAATGCTACATCATGGCAGGTTTGTTGCCTGCCTTTGGTATATAGCTATACATGCAAATCACCTATCGTTCCTCACTGGCTTGTATTCTGTCCTATCAAAGAGGCTCTCTGTCCTGCCCCCACAGCAGAAGACAATGCTAAGAATATTCTTTATCTTGAACTCCCATTACAAACGATTGCACTCTCAATGGCCTTTCAGGATGGGTCCTTATGTTTTTACAGTATCTGTGTGCCGTTTTAGGGAACTATGTTAATGGCAGTACCTAAGTGGGGGGGGGGGGGGAAGAGAGGTATCAGTGAGTAGCACCCCATGCCCCATCTAGCCAGGGTAATTGTAATTCCTTTCACAGATCTCTGAGACTCAGCATTTATCTGTAGATTTAGCAATTTAAAAGATCTTGGATGATGGTCATCAAACCCCATGAGTGTTAATGTTTTCTCAGATAAACGCTGTATTCATTTATGAGCATTTAGTTTCTCTTATCAGGCATTTAAGTGACTTTTCACATTTTGTATAATGTTCAAGAATGTGATACTTATTTATATAGATAGTTATTGCCTAGTTGCATTTGTTCAATGAGAGATCACAGAGTGTAGGATAGAGAGGTCTTGTAAGATTACATCATGTATTGATATTATAGTCATTCCAGTTTATGAAGTGCAGTGTATGAAATTGTCTAATACAATTCTCCCTGTTAAGAAGTACATGACTGTATATGGAAAGGCTAGTTCCTTTATCTCCTTAATATCCTAAATGTGTTTGACATAGTCAACACAGTTGCCATCTTTTACACATCAGTTTAAAATATGAACATTGGGTAGTATAACATATACATTTAAAAAAACTTTTTTACAAATTACATTTTGTGTGTGCGTGCATGCGCACGTGTGTGCACACGTGTGTCCTCATGTGTATGGAAGTCAGAGGAAAGCTTGCAGGAGTTAGCTTTGTAATTCCACCAAGTGAATCCCAGGTATCAAAGCCAGGCCATCAGGCTTGGTGACAAGTGCCTTTACCCTTTGAGCCACCTCACTGGTCCTACGGCACAGCAATTATCCATCCAATTACACTGTTCACCATACTGGGATTTATATTTTTTTCAAATAAACGCTTTCAGTTAGGAAAACACTGCTGGAATGATGGTGAAGACCTCTAGTCCAGCTATGCAGAAGGTTGAGCCAAGAGGATTGCAAGTTCAGTGCCTACCTGGGCTATAACTTAAATACATTCTTAAAATCAAAAGCCTACAAAAAAAAAGTTTGGATACCTTGATATAGCTGAGCTTTAGAACACTAGCCTAGCATTTGTGAGACCCTAGGCATACCCCCCCCCGCCCGCCACACAGGGGAAATGCATATATGTTATATATTATATATAGTAATAATAAGTATATAATATGTAAATATTTGTAAATTTATATGTGAAAAATATATATGACTATTTGAACATTGAGGTTACCTCTTATGTTAGAAGAAGGTCGAGAAGGAGCTAGCATTTGAACATGTAGCTTTTGTTCTTAGTTGTTTTGAGTTGGTGCAGACCCAGAAGTCAGATACCTAAGGAAGCCACATTTCCAGCAGAGGATTAAACACAACCACATCATCACCGCTTGGGATTTAACTTCTAAGACACCTGGTACTGAGAGTCACTGAGCACACCCCTTAGAGTCCAGACCTTTTGGTACGCAATGCTTCTGTTAGCTCTGTGTTTAATTCGCTGAATTCTTACTGAGTTTGGTACAGTGCTGAGAAGTGATGTCTATAGCCCGCATTCTGTTTTCCGGGAAGACGTCACTGCTCGTGATGTCTAATGCAACCTAATTATCATTGGATCTGGGAGAAAGCTACCGCATTTAGAGTTGGACTTATGTTATCTTGGAAGATTACACTGGAGCATTTTTCATTATAACACGAGAATTTAAATGGGATTTCCTAGGCTTCCCCTCCTCCCCCCACGGCCTGGGTTGGCTCTCTGGAACAGCTGCTTTACCTCCTCATCACCACTAGAGCCCCACATCACATCAGTTTTTCCCTGGCTTCTGGAGCAGTAACACTTGGAAGGTGTGTGTACCTTCCAGTGCACAGAACCAGATCATCACTGTTCTGGAAGCATGCCCTTCTGCTTGGATGATCATCAGGCGTTCTAAAAATAAAGACGCTACATCCTGGAGAGAACGATTGTGAAGTATGGTCAGTGAGATGTTGTCTTAGGGGATGAGCGGACCAGCCAAGGACTAGAAGGGGACACAGCGCTTCCCGCCTGGGGTGGCCCTAGCTGTGGGTCACTGGCTGAGAGTAGTCACAATGACAGCGGTTGGCAGGACAGGGCTAGACAAGTCTGTGACCTCAGCTCAGTTCCTGTGGACAGATGCCCACCCCTTGAAGTTGACACTCTTGTTGACAGTCTCAGTAACAGAGCCAAAGGCTGGCCGCGAAAAAGCAATGCTGTGTTGTTTGTATTCACTCCAAGGGCTCTTGCTAGGCCACGGTTTGTGCCGGGTTTCTCCAGGTGTGGGCTGTAGGGAAGTAATAACAGTTGAAGCTGCTTGGTTTGCTTTTCTCACAGGAAGGGGGTATTGGGAGAACGATGAGCTGTTGTTTATAGAATAGTTTTTAAATATAAGAGATGTACTCTGATTTTCATAGCAACTTGGAGAGTCAACTGCAAGCAATCTGCTTTTATAGATGAGGAAGCTGGGGAAAATAGTTAATATACTAAAGCCAAGGTGAGGGTTCATGTGTGTATCTGAGGGAACGGGAAGTCCAAGATCTAATGAGGCACAGACAATGAACTTTCAGAGCAGAATATCTCCGGACTAGAATTCTGGATCTGCTACTGATTAATGTGTGACCTTGACCTTGGTTGAATTAAAGAACCAAATATGTTCCACTTCCTCATCTGAAAACAGCACACACACACACATACAAACACACACACGTACACACACATGCACACACACATACACACATATAGACACACACATTCAAGCACACACACATGCATGTGTACACATACACATTTGCACACATATGCACACACAAAAGCCTTTCTCATAGGGAGATGGTATTTGTAAACAATCTGAGGTTTTAGTGGGTGTGTGTTGTTACCTTTTTGTCTCAATGCTCTACAAACATTTCACCAATAAGCTACACCGCTGAGCCAGACCCTTAAGCCTGTTATTTTCTCTGCTATCTAATTCTAGTTCACAGAGTTACATGATATAGGTGGGAAAGAATCTTTGAGATGCTTGCTCGGAGCCCAGTGTCTAACATCAAGCTTTGAACTAGAACTATGGTTAATTGTACAGATATGTATGTAGATCATCCACACAGATAATCATACTTGAGTTTCTCTTGTTGCTATACCAGTAACATTTGGTTCTTTACAGATATTTACATTCGTCTCTTAAGTTATTTTTATCAACACTACAGGGAGAATTTTGGGCATTTTAGGTGAAGTGGGGGCTGAAGTCCACAAGACTGGGGCTTACTTGGGCATGGGATAGTTAAAAGTATCTTTGAAGTTTCGGTATCAGATATTTATAGATAGCTTACCTATCTGACTCATTTTCAAACTTATTTTTAGTAGCTTTACTGAGGTATCATTTATATTTTACCCATTTTAAGGTCTGTGATAAATTTATATTTTGGCCCCCACCCACTGCGGTCTAGTTTTATCATTTTTGTCTCCTGACAGCTCACATTTACTTCACTCGTGAACTGGAGAGAAGCTTTATTTTAGAAAGGTTTTGCTTTGGAGAAACTCCAGGATAATGAACCAAAAAAATCTTCTCCATCAAAGCTCTGGTTAGCAGAGCAGTTGACTTAGCAGTAGTGGGGCCTGGAAGATCGGGCTGGCATTTGTGTCTTGGCCTCTGTAAAACTTAATCTTAAGATGAGAGAATCAGTTGGCTCATTCTGTGGATAGAATTTTGTCTTGGGTTTGCTCTTGGTGAGTTACATAAAGTATGGATAAGTTAGGGATGTTTGTGAAAGAGCTTCTATGGATAAGCTGATAGAGAATGGGGGTGGGCAGACAGCCAGACAGAAGAGGTTTAGACCAGTTGATATTCTCTGAGGTCCCTGAATTCCTTCCACCTCTACAGAAATGGTTATATATGAAGCAGGAGTATGTATAAACAAATTGAGGAACCTCCTGTTCTTAACTGTAAGTGAGACAGACACAGGTGTCTGGCTGAAGGACATTTCCCGTGTTTTCAGAAGAACCCTTAGATTACCTTTCTTAGATAAAGTATAGAAAACTATCTCTTACTAATATTTCATCTAGGCTATACCCCAACCCTTTTAAAAAAGAGTCTGTATAACAAATGGAGTACGTTAAGGAAGAGTCATAATGCATAGCTCTTAGTCATATAAAGGAGCCAGCAGAAGCAGTTTGTAGACCATGAATGCAAATGCTTAAATATTATTTAATGAAAATGACAGACATTCTTCTCTTGTAAGGCGAAACAACACAGCGTGACATGCCAGTGCCTCCAGGCATTCATGTTAAATTGTTTTGGGTCTAATGAGAACAACAGTTTGGGTGTGGCACTTTCAGTTGGTCTTGTAGTGA